TCTGCATAATATCTATGGAATCTCTTGATAGCCAAATTTTGAATTATTTATAGCCTAATTGTACAAGCGATGATACCCAAGAGAACGCTTAGTCTGCAAGATGCAATTAATGCATTATGCAAAAAGGGTGACTTCTCTTCCAGGCTTCATTTTGATGCATTGGTGGTCCCTAAAAAACAGGTGAGATCACTTTACCAGAAGAGGAGCTAGAGGATACACAGACATTTGCAACTTTCCTCAGGGCACCACTGTGAAACAGGAAAGGGTGCAAAAATCCTCTCAAAGTCTGTCTAAAGACAGGCATCCAAAGCCCTTTTAGATGCTCAAGAGAATCTCACCTGGCCTCTAGCTGCTGCTCCCGAAAGGCATAGATCTCCCATAAGTCCCGTGTTGCATCTGGAAATCCCATCTTGGAGATCTCAAAGCACCCCAAATGGCACTAGATATGCATGTGTGAGAGACAGAACTGAGCCTACATGATGCCTGGACCCAGCACACCTTCCAGCACGGGGAGGTGTTTCCAAAAACTTCAGCTCTCCCTATGTACCGGCATCCTAAGTCTCCTTGTTACTGTAGTGATGAATAAGTAGATGTAATGCAGCACCTAATACATGCACTAAAGATCCTCCTTCCTGCCCAACCTACAGCAGAACAGTAGCTTGGCCATTTAAATCCAGCTTAAGAATTGGATTTCCAGACGCGGAGGCTGTCTCTTCACTTCCATGAGTTTTTATGGCAGTTGTCACAGTGCCTGGGATGTTTCTCTACTGCCAAGCTTTTCTCAGGCCCGCCACATCATTAGTAAATAAATAGCTGAAGCCTGACATGCAAAGTAGTCCATAGGTTGTACTTCTTAAAAAACTCTTATATTCTCATGGCTGCTTAACAGAGCTCTGGGGCAATCACCTCCTTCTCAAATGCTTCAGCAGCATTTATAGTGACCATCCCTTGAAACCACCAGGGCGGAACAGGGCTCTGGGCAGTCACAATTCTGGCTCTAGGATGGGAACAACTTAAAAAAAAAAAAAAAAGGTCTGAAAAGTCAGTATTACAATGCTGTCCACTCCAGGCCTAATAAAAAATGCTGCCTGCTCATTTCCTCTTGAGACTAGACACATAATACATGTCTAAGCCCCTCAGCCTATCCCAATTTACAAATTCAAGTACAGCTGTAGGTTTAAAGATTCAGCCAAAATTAATTATGACAGATTAAGGAACAGAACAACATCCTGTAACGGCCTCTTGTTAAACGGAAACATGTGATCCATGCCAAGTAATCTCAGTCTCCTGTTAAGTTCTTGCTGTTGTCGTGTTCACCATCTCTGCTGCCTCTGTGCTGAGCACCACCATCTGAACATGGGTCATTTGGACGTACCCAGACTCTCATTCAACAGCTTAGACAGTGATAGCACCGGCCTTGGTTGAGATAGGTGAGAAACGAGGTTTGTAGGCAGCCCCCCACCTGTAGGCATGGGCAGGCTTTTTTTCTTCATTCTCTTATAAGACTTTTGCGCCATTTAGAATTGGCAGGGCAATTAAATCCTCTGCTCATGCCACCCACATCAGAGGAAAATGTAAGCAGATTTAAGCCAGATACTTTCCTTCTCTTCCCTCCCCTTCCACCCCTTTTCCTTAAGTGAGGGACAAAGGTAGATAGATAGACTACTTTGCTTGTACAATAAATGCCATACATCTCAAAAGCCTATAACAAGACAAGCTGGTGTCGTTATCCCTGCTTTACAGACAGAAGACCCGAGGGAGAAAACAGCGCTGTGATTTATCTAAGGCAATGGCACATCTGGGATGAGATCCCAGGTTGCAATTTCTTTCATAAAATTTTGAGAGGTGAAGTATGCCTTTACAAAGCCAAAACTTACGTAGCTTAAGAAAATTTTTGCGTTTGACAAAAACTGTTCAGTGCCTAACATGAAGGAAAGCCATTTGGTTGTCAAATAGAAATAACTGCAAAGTTTTATCCCCTCTCCTTCTCAACATTTTCACTTTCTTTGTAAGTATATATTGAAAATAAGATAAGGCTATGGTCCCCTCTACTTTCTAAACTGCTGTCTAGTGAAAGAGGAAATAGATTGCTCCAAGACAAGTGACTGCAGATTTACCCAGGGGCTGAAGGTGAGGCTAAGTCACTTAGACCATAAGCTTTTCAGAAAACAGGCTCCAAGCGCACGCTTATGAAATCCTTCCCCAGACCGTCCCTGACAAAAGCAGAAACGTCCCTTTCCGTTGGATATGCCATAGAAAAAGTAAGCTACCACCAGCACAGCCAGTGCTTTCTACAGAGTAAGTAACAGCGACCAGTGTCTTGCAACCTGGTCTCAAAGGACTATACGTAGCAGGAGAGGTGCTCTTGGTTTAATAACAGACCAGGATGTGACAGGGGGAGTTAGACGGCAACAGCGTCTCTGGCCCTTCACTGCTTTGAGCGCCCTAGGCTGCTTATATCCCTCACAATGTCCATTGGAGACGTGAACCCTGCTAGAAAACACACCTTGCTCTAAACTGGTTAACACAGGAGAAAACACGCATGCTTTCCTCATTTGCCATTATGCATATTGAGTTGTTCATCTGCTCCTCTCCCCTGCTCTGTTACTCTGCAATATCTTTTAGCTGCTAAAGAAGCTGAAAAAACAATTAAGATGCTTCAGAAAAAGCAGATAATTTCTGCCATGCAGCATTGAGTACCCAGCAGATGTGACTCAAGATACACACATGCTGTTTTCAGGCAAGTGTTCCCAATGGTTTAGATAAAAATAATAAGGATGAAAGCTTTCAGCAGAAACCAGGTTACTTTTAAGTGGAAGGGCTCTAGGGTGTATTAGCAGCCCTACCTGAAAATGTCGTCTTCTTCTTGCGTGGGGGATCCCATAGCACTAGTTGTTCATAATGAAAAAAAAAAAAAAAATCAAGCCAGCAGTCAGACTAGACAGGAAGGCAATACTGGGGTTAAAGCAAGTTGTTTTGGTTGTAAATATTAGATACTTTGTGATTATTACCAGAGTTTTTCAGGGCAGACAAATGAGATACCTTACGGGGAGATCTCCACCCCACGAAAGATAATGGCAAGTCTCAAGGGTCAGGACTTTACCTTTATGATTTCATGCACCACAGTTCAGTCAACAAGGAATCAATTTAGCGGGAGAAACCCTGTGATGTGCTGGCGACAAGATATTAGCTGACATAGGGTGTTGCAACTGTATTGGAGCATATGGCCCCTATCCAAAATAAGAGTCCATGAAAAATATTTTTCCAATATCCCCTTCCTAATCCATCCCCAGCATCTGTCATCGCACAAAAGAGGACGGAGACAGCGGAGACAGCGTTATGCTAAGCAGCATGTTGAGATCGCTTTAGACATTTGCCATCTTTTGGCCACGATGAAAAATGACAAATTAGGAAAATGTTTTCATTAGCTGCACTCACCTGCAAAATAATCAACCAGCTACTCCCAGTTTCCCATCATTTTACAAGGTGGCCTGGCAAGGAGTCAAGAAATAAAAGCCAGTGGCAAACAAATCACACAAGACAAATATAAACAGTTACATTTGTGATGATCCACCATCTTGAATTGACCTTCAATATCCAGTACCAGGATTTTCTGCACCCAGACACACAAATCGCAGGCATTCACACTCTGCCAATACTTTAAGCCGTGCCCATAAAGCATATTTGAATAGGATTCGAGCTGATGAAAAGCAAGTTGTTACTTTTAAAGGGGGTTGGTGACCCAGTGAATTGAGCTGATGGCTTCAGTCCAGCAGATGACAATCCATTAAATTGTGAAAAAAATTGCCACCACAATTCTTAGTGCCAGCAGAGGTGTGAAAGAAAGTGAGGCCCCTCGAGGATGTGCCTGACCGTATTTCTGGTGTTACAGATGGCAGCCTGAATCACTGCAGTGTTTTTTTTTTTTGCCTTGCCTTTTCATAAGGCACAAAGATACTTAGGCGCCACTGTTTGCAGTGAAACATTTTAGATATCCTAAGCTCAGGAAGAAACGCATCCCACTTGAGCCCTTTTCAAAACACCTCTTCAAGTCACCAATTTTGGGTAAGGGGGGAAAAAAAGAAATGAAGGAAAGTTGAGCCAAAGCCCATGAACAATTTTTTTTTTTTTTTTTTAAGGGGGGGGGGGCCTGGGAAAAGGAAAACAATTCATCGACCCGAGAGCGGCTTTGCAGGGAAAGGTTAAGGAAATAATAAAGAGGGATTTAGATCACACTGCTTTATATACAATGATGAAGGAGAAATTCAACACCCAGATGACAAATTCAGTTCAGGTTTTACTTCCTCTCGCCTCCTTTTTCACCCCTTACAGACGACATACCTTTCTCATTTGTAAATTATTTTAATTTAAATACTTCCAGGTTAACAAAACGTCTTAACTTTGACATGCCCCAACTTACAAAACAGAAACAAAAACCTCTCGACAAAGGGAAAGAAAGAAAAACCCCAGACCCCAAGCCCGAAGCTCCTTCTCCACGCCGGAGTTTACGGCCTGCGAGCTGGCTGCCCTCCAGAGTCTGACACAATGTCTGGAGCGCCCAGAGCAGCTGGGATTCATTTTCTTCCTTCACATCTATGGACTTTCATATGAAGTCGTGTTTTGGCACTGCCGCGCAAGAGAGAGTTCAGTGCGAACCAAAAAAAAAAAAAAAAATC